CTCAGCCTCAGCCTGCTCAGCCTCAGGCCTGCCTCAGCCTCAGCCTCAGCCTCAGCCTGCCTCAGCATCAGCCTGCCTCAGCCTCAGCCTCAGCCTGCCTCAGCCTCAGCCTCAGTCTGGTTCAGCCTCAGCCTCAGTCTGCCTTCAGCCTCGGCCTCAGCCTCAGCCTGCCTCGGCCGCAGCCTGCCTCGGCCGCAGCATCAGCCTGCCTCAGCATTCAAAATGTGGCCCAGGAGCGCAATTCTGGGAACTAGAAGAACACGAAAAGGCTTACAGTTGGCTCCGGGCATTCAAAATGTGGCCCGGGAATGGAGTTCTGTGAGCTCGAAGAGCACGAAGTGGCTTACAGTTGGCTCCGGGCATCCAAAATGTGGCCCGGGAATGGAGTTATGGGGACTCGAAGACAACGAAGTGGCCTACAGTTGGCTCCGGGCATTCAAAATGTGGCCCGGGAATGGAGTTCTGGGAAGTCGAAGAGCACGAAGTGGCCTACAGTTGGCTCCGGGCATTCAGAATGTGACCCGGGAATGGAGTTCTGGGAGGTCGAAGAGCACGAAGTGTGTGACTGTACTTCTGCGGCACCCTGTCCGGCACCCGCCCAGACCCCCCTGTGGAGTCATCTGCTGCTCTCTTTTGACACCACTAGAAACCTATCAGAACAAGCTGTTAGGTAAAAAGGAAGAAAGAGCTTGCGCGCATTTCGTATCAGCGCGGCGGCAGAGTCGGCAGGCCAAGTTGGCCATTCTCGCGAGAAAGGTTCTCGCGGGTATGAGGCCGAGCACTGCGCCGAATCCCAAGTTTGAGGGGGGCCGGCGAGCGGCCTGAGCTAACAGCCAGGGGCCGCCGCAGGTGCCCATTGATATTTTCCCGGGGCCAGCTCGGCTCCGCACCAATTCGACGAGGCAGTGCGGCCAGTTGAGCGCCTCGGGCGCCCCGCTCGAGTCGCCTTCGACGAGGCCCTGCTGCTCGCCCACGCGAGGAGGAAACCAGGGGGAGGGGGAGGGGGAGGAGGAGGAGGAGGAGGAGGAGGAGGAGGAGGAGGAGGAGGAGGAGGAGGAGGAGGAGGGGGAGGGGGAGGGGGGGAGGGCGAGGATGATCAGGAAATTGCCAGGGGGGTCGCCACCAGAGTTTTCACATGTATTTCTCGCGGATCGAATTTGCCGGGTAAGGGGGGCGAGTGGCTTCCCTCGCGCCTGTGTTTTTTCCCGGTCCCGGGGGCGCATTTTCTTGCAGAGATGGCGACCCCCGGCGGTCTCGCATCCCCCTGCTCGTGCTCCTCATCCTTCTTCCCCCCCCGTCCTCGTGTTCCTCGTCCTTGTCCTCCTCGTCTTCCTCTTCCTCGTCCTCCCCCATCCTCCTCTTAACCGCTTCCCCCCCTCTTCCCTCGTCCCATGTCATCCATCCCCGTTCTCCGCCTCCGCCTTCCTTTCTCCCTCCGCCTCCTTCCCCTTCTCCCTCTCTCGTTCTCTCTCTTCCACTCCTCGTGCTCTTAGTCCGTCCACGTCCTCCACGCTCCCCCATTCCCCCTCTTCATCCTCGCCCTCGCCCTTCGCTGTCCCCCCCCCCGCCCCTCCCCGCCTCCCCCCCCCTCTCTTCGTCAGGTCCTTTACCTTGCTCTCCGCATGGATCCCGCCTCAGTCCTCTCCCCCCCCCTCCTTCCCCCCCATCCTCCGCCCCGCCGGTTGTAATCATATCCTTTTCCGTTCCTTTCTGCCCTCCCTCCCCTCTCCTTCCTCTTCGCCACTCCGGTCGGCGCCCCCCCAGACCGCCCGCGAGGCTCGGCCGCCCCCGCTGCCGCCAGGCGCCCCTGCGGGCCTCTGACGCCCGGCGGGCTAGCCGCGCGAGCGGCGGCCCGACGCCGGGGGGGGGCAGGCGATGCCCACGGGGCTCGGCCGCCACACATGCGGCCTCGCATCTGTTTTGGGGCATTTCTCCCCGTCCCCGCCCCCTCTCTTCCTTTTTCTCTCTCTCTCTCTCTCTCTCTCTCTCTCTTTCTTTCTCTTTCTCTCTCTCTTTCTCTTTCTCTTTCTCTTTCTCTTTCTCTTTCTCTTTCTCTTTCTCTCTTTTTTTTTTTTTCTCTCTCTCTCTCTCTCTCTCTTTCTCTTATCTCTCTATCTCTCTCTCTCTTTTCTCGTTTTTTTTCTTCTTCCTCTCTCTCTCTCTCTCTTCTCTCTCTCTTCTCTCTCTTTCTCTCTCTTTCTCTCTCCTTTTTTTTTTTTTCTCTCTCTCTCTCTCTCTCTCCCCTCCTCTCTCCTCCCTCTCTCTCTCTCTCTCTCTTTCCCCCTCTCTCTCTCTCTCTCGCTCTCTCTCTCTCTCTCTCTCTCCCTCCCTCTCTCCCCCTCTCTCTCTCTTTCTCTCTTTCTCTCTTTCTCTTTCTATGTTTATTCCTTTCTTTTTTGTTGTTTGCTTTTCTCTCTCTCTCTCTCTCTCGCTCTCTCACTATGTATATGTATATATCTCTATATTTATAAGATATATATATATATATATCTCGTTCATTTCTCTTTCTCTCTTTCTCTTTCTCTCTCTCTCTCTTTCTCTTTCTCTTTCTCTTTCTCTTTCTCCTCTTTCTCTTTCTCTTTCTCTTTCTCTTTCATTCCTTTCTCTCTCTCTTTCTCTTCTCTTTCTCTTTCTCTTTTTTTTTTTCTCTCTCTCTCTCTCTCTCTCTCTCTCTTTTCTCTCTATCTCTCTCTCTCTCTCTCCTCTCCGTTTTTTTTTTCTCTCTCTCTCTCTTCTTTCTCTCTCTCTCTCTCTCTCTTTTTCTTCTCTCTCTTCTCTCTCTTTTTTTTTTTTTCTCTCTCTCCTCTCTCTCTCTCTCCCTCTCCTCCCTCCCTCTCTCTCTCTCTTTCCCCTTCTCTCTCTCTCTCTCTCTCTCTCTCTCTCTCTCTCTCTCTCCCCCTCTCTCTCTCTTTCTCTCTTTCTCTCTTTCTCTTTCTATGTTTATTCCTTTCTTTTTTGTTGTTTGCTTTTCTCTCTTTCTCTCTCTCGCTCTCTCACTATGTATATGTATATATCTCTATATTTATAAGATATATATATATATATATCGTTCATTTTTTTTTCTCTCTCTCTCTCTCTCTCTCTCTCTCCCCGTGTATATATATATATATCCCTCTCTCTCTTTCTCTCTCTCTCTCTCTCCCTCTCTCTCTCTCTCTCTCTCTCTCTCTCTCCCCCTCCTCGTTGTCCTCCTCCTCCTCCCCCTCCTCCTCCTCCTCCTCCTCCTCCTTATCCCGGTGCACTTTTCAGCGCACTCCGGTGGGCGGCAAGTATAGCGCAGGGTCTGCGTCTGTGCTCGGGGCCTCAGGCTCGATGTGGAGAGCGACAGATCGACGCGCGTGACCCGGCGAGGATCGGGTCGAGCCAGCAGAGAGAAAGGCAAAGAGGGACAGAGGGAGAGATTGGTTCCACCTTGTGGCAACTTCTCCAGCTTCTGCGCTACAGTGCCGCCGATCAAACCCGTGCCGCCCTGCTTTAAAGGACTATACAGAAGGGCGCGGCGCCCCTTCTGTAAGAAGGCCTGGCGCTTGAGGAGCTGGAGTGGCTGGCCGGCTTCCTCTGCGTTCGTCCTCGCCCCCCCGGCCGTGGCTCGGGGACTGTTCGGTGCGGCCTATCCTCGCGCGGCGGCCCGAGACGCCCCAGGCTCGGGCCGGGCGAAAGGGGGGGATTGGGAATGGGGGGGTTACGAAATTTGCTGCATGCAGCTGGTTTCGGCCTCACCGAGGTGCGCATTCCTCGATGCATAGCCGCCTCCGGCGCCAGGAGGCGCCGGGAAAATCAGCTACGTGAGCTGATTCTCAAACCCCCCCTTTGCTATCCCCCCCTTTCGCCCGACCCGACAGGTGGCCCGAGAACGACCGCGAAGGCCCCGTGAGAACCCCAAGACGGCCCAGAAACAACCCCAAACGGTCCAAGACGGCCTCGAGAGGCCCCGCAGACAGGCGCGAAAGCGGGCTCCTGCTCGTCGCCGTCGCCGTCGCCGCCGCCGCCGCCGTCGTCGTCGTCGACGTGATTCTTTCAACGCGGGCCGCGGAGGTGGTGAGGGGGGGAAATATGAGGAGGAGGAGGAGGAGGAGGAGGAGGGAATGGAAAAGGGAATGGAGGAGGGAATGGGGGAAGGGGTCGGGGTGGTGGGGTTCGACGGACAAGGGGGGATGAATGAGGATATGCCCGATGAGGACGAGTAGCAGAGGGAAGGGGGGAAGGGGCGGTGAGCGAACGCGGCGAAAACAGGATCGCAAGCTGGTCCTTTTTTCGAGGCCTGAGATCAGCTACAGAGCCCTCCGGCGCATCAATCGAAAGGAAATGGTCATGAACGCTAGTCTATCTAGATACCTGACTGAGATCGGTCTGCTACCAGAGCTCAGACAAAATACTGTTCATTCTGCGAATTATTCAGGAGATAATGATAGCATTCTCTATTGGATTCGCGCTGTAGGCTGGCTACGGAGCTGAGAAGCACTTGCTGAAACAGAAAGTCATCGGGCACATTCCCCTACGGTACCGAGACGTCGCAATCCGATCTAAAACCATGCGAGTGAAGCACTATGCGAACTGATTAAATATTTTGAAGGTCGTGTGCGTTTCCTCGATTACATTCGAGCTCTAGACCAGCTACGGAGCTGAGATGCGCACAAATCGACAGGGAATGCAGAGAAGCACCAGTCTAAATATCGACGCCTGAAATCTGTCTGCCACTAGAGCTGCGACCC